GCCTGCTGGGATCCTTGGGTCAAGATGCTTCTCTCCAGTTAAGTCTCCTAAATATAGATTTTATTTTCCAAGTTTTTGCTAAAAATCCTTATTCTTTCTGAATATTAAGGTGATTGTGTGTTTTTATAGAAAACTTGTGTTCAATAATTTGTAACTCAGAACATGAAAGTTCCTTCTAATATCTACCTCCCAATGCCTCCCTACCCCCGTAAGGTTGGTAAGGATTCCTCTAGATTGTTTCCGATGCATGTATTTACAATTATTATCATTTTGCAAAAGTGAGATGCTACGTTGTGCTTTTTTGCTTCGCATGGCATTACGTGTGGGAGTGTCTCATTCTCATTTTACTGCTTGCCTGGCATTCCCTTCTATGGAGGGACCATAGAGAATCGTCTTTTATTTATTTACCTACTGCTGATGAATATTTGGGCTGCTTTCAGTTTTTTACTGTAAATAATTCAATAATGAGCACCAGATATATGCCTTCAGGCACTCATACCAGTAACCCTATAAATTGTTCGATTAAAGAGTGTGAAAATTTAACATTTTAAATAATATCCAAATGTTCTCCACAAACAGTAAACCAATATAAACTTTCCTCCCAGGAAAAGAGTCTCGGTTTCCCCACACCTCCCTAGTGGGAGGTATTAAGACTATTTTCAACTCTGCTAATCTAGTAGGCAAAAAAAAATTTAAAAATGCTCTTCCACACTTGACTTTGCATGTTTAAATTGCAGCATCTTTTATGTGTTTATTGGCCATTATGGCCTGCCCAAATCTTTGCCCATTTTGTTATTAAATTGCTCATTTTTTGGTTATAAGAGTTCTTTGTACCAATAAATTCAATTTAAAAAAAACATTAAAAAAGAGTTTTTCATAGTTAGGAAAATTAGCTTATCACCTGCCTTATGTAGCAAAATATATCGTTCCTATGTGTTGCTTTCTTTTGTGGTGTGTGTGTAATTTATTGATTTTAGAAAGAGAGAGGAAGAGAGAGAGACATAAATTTTTGTTGTTCCACTTATTTATGCATCATTGGTTGATTCTTGTATGTGCCCTGACCAGGGATTGAACCTGCAACCTTGAGGTAGCGAAAGAATGCTATAAGCAACTCTTTTGTGGTGTCTCTGCTAATCAATCACTTAGGATTTAATTCTAAATTAATTTTTTTTTTTTTTAGTTCCTGGGTGTATGACATTCTCAGAAAGACCTTCCCTAATCCAAGATTTAAAAATGTCCACTTATGTTGGGGTTTTATACTAGTATTTGAGTGTTGGGTCTATCAAGAGCAGAGCTGGTAGAAGGAGAGCAGAGGGACATGGTGGCGGGGAGCAGAGACCAGCGTGGTTTTCCCCAAATTCTTCAATGGGGCCCAGGAGCTGCTATTTCCCCCTAGGTAGTCTAGCTCACTGAGCCTGTGGCCCGCTATCTTGCAGGCAGTTCCAGAAGGCGGAGAACCACTTCTCAATCGCCATCCAGCACAACCCCCAGACAGCTCAGTACTACCTGCACCGTGCCAAAAGCCGGCAGCTCACACAGAACATTTTTGGGGCCCGCCAGGATGTTGCAACTGCCCTGCTCCTTGACCCTAAGCAACCAAAGGTGGGTTCCTGCTGGGGGCCAGGAGGACTGACAACAGGGTCAATACCCCTGGCCACCTAAAGATACTCCCTGGCCCTGAAAGAAATTTGGTTTCCTAGCAACTAATAAGAGCTGCTAATGCCAGAGCATGTACTGGTGCCAGGCACTGTTCTAGCCACTTCAGCTCGCATCACTCCGTCTAACCCTCTTTAGCACCCGCAGAGACAGGTAATGTTACCACCCCCCAACTTACAGACCAAGAGGGTGAGGCTCAGAGAGGCCAGTTCCCTTGCCCCAGGCCACACAGCTTAGAGGTTTTACCCTAGCCTGTCTGGCTCCAGAACCCATCGCTAGACTCACCCCCTTAGTGTTTTCTCTCTGAATAGTTCCTTTCTCGTGGTCTCCTCATAGTTCAGGGGCACAAGGCTCCAGCCCTTTAAAAACTCTTCCTTTGAGCCCTGCGAAGGGACTCCGCAAGGGCAGGGCAGCACCACACCACCTGCCCCTGCCCTGGCCCACACCCGGCTCCGGTGGCCCCTTTCCTGGCAGCTGCTCCCGCTGATGGCCACCCTCTTCCCGGGCATGACAGCGGAGGAGGTGCTTAGCAGCCAGGTGGCCCAGCTGGCCGGCCTGCAGCTGAGCCGGGTGATGGAGAGCAGGCTGGAGGACAGCATCTCTCAAGGCATCGTGGGGTAAGCTCCTCGAGCAGGGGCCGCAGGCCAGGACCAGGAACGGTTGAGCTCAAGGCTCCTCTGGCCCTGGCTGCCTCCTCAGGCCACTGTCCAGTCCTGGGGGTGGTGGGGTGGGTCACAGAGGGTTACAGTGCTCTGGGGCCATGCTTGGCAGGCAGCTCAGGAAGCGGGAACTAGAGCGCCAGAAGGCCCAGGCCCTGCAGCTCTCGTGCAAGCAGGAACAGCCTTTGTGTGTGACCCCTGAGAACCTGGACTCTACTCCCCAGACCCTGCAGGCAGAGCCAAAACACCCACAGGAGGCTGTGGGTGCCAAGGAGGAGGTGAGTGGGCCATACACCGGGGCCTGGGGCCCTTGAGGTCCGGGTGGAGTGCACCCCAAGCCAGGGCTGAGGGATGCAGGCAGGCTAAGGCTGGCTCCCATGCTGGGCTCTGCCACCACTCAGCTGTGTGACTTGGGCTGGGGACCTCTTGCTATGAGATGGGGTGGTACCAGTAAGGGGCACCCCTGAGACAGTGCACATGAGAGAATATGGATCCCTCACAGAGAGGCCTCCTCAAACCTCGCCCACACTCCCCTTCATGAATGCTGCTGTGTGCACTGGCCACTCGTGCCAGTTTTCTTAATTCTTAAATTTATTTCTAAAAATGTTTACTGAGTCTAACATAGAAAAGTACACAAATCATAAAGGAACTGTTTGATGAATTTTCACAAACTGAGTACACCCATGACATCATTACACAGATCAAGAAAGAACACTCCCAGCTCCCCATAAGCCCCTGCACCCCCTTCTCAGCCCCCCCTCA